CCTCAAACACAATGTAAACACAGAATCCTACTAAATATGTCCAAGAGAAGTATTTGATTGCTGCTCTCCAATCTAACATACTGTTATGAAATAAAAAAAACTAAGAAACAAACTGCCATTAAGTCGATTCTGACTCATAGCAACCCCCTTTGGGTTTCCAAGGTGGTAAATCTTTATGGAAGTAGACTGCCCAGTCTTCCTTCCGTGGAGTGGCTGGTGGGTTTGAACTGCCAACCTTCAGGTTAGCAGTCTAATGCCTTACGCTCTGCACCACCAGAACTTACGAAATCAAAATGGGAATGCTATATTTTGGATTTGGCCATTACTTTGTTTCACTAGTTAACTGTATCTGATAACTTTTAAAAATTACTCTACAGATAGTAAAAAGGCAAAATACTAAATATTAGTTATCTTTACTGATCCACATCGTGTTTCACCAATGAAAAAAATGTAAAACACAAATTATAAAAATTTAAAGCTTATTAATCTTTCTTTAGTTTTTGTGCTCAACTTCCATTACTATCAAATTTTCTTATATGTTGTGCTCTGTGCATATTTTAAATGCTTCAAAGAAACATTTTTAATAAAACATGTTTTTGTTACAAAACTAATATTCTTTCTAAATAAAATCTGGATATTTGAAAACAGGAAGAAAAAGCCAAGTTTTACACCCAAATGGACTTTTTCATTTTCTATAGCTTTTCCTTTCTTCATTTTTATATATTTGAAACCATATTGTACGAAATATTTTATTCTATTTATTTTAACATTTTATCCCAATGCTTCTCTTCATAAACAAACTACATGTTAAAGCTAATTTTAAATGTGTGTAGGTATCATATTGCAAGTTAACTTGTACCACTGTACAGAAAGGCTGTTAATAAAGGTTATGTGTGATGGTTCTCCCTTCATACCACTCACCAGCCATGCAATCTTAGGCAAAATACTTAATCTCTCTAAACCTGTAAAATGAGCATAATAAAGAACATACATTATAGAGTTACTGCGATAATTTAAGAAGATAATGTACACAAGAAGCTCTGGTAGCACAGTGCCTATGGCACCTCACTGCTAACCAGAAGGCTGGTGGTTCAAACCCACCAGCCACTCCATGGAAGCAAAACTGGACAATCTACTTCCATAAAGATTTATTACCTCGGAAACCCAATGGGAGTTGCTATGAGTTGGAATCGACTCAACAGCAGTGGGTATGGTTCAGTTTGTTTTTTAATGTACATAAAATTTTTAGTACAGTACCTGGCACATAATGAGTTTTTAATAAATGTTAGCTATTATTATTTCATTAATACAAATAACCTCTTCAATTTTGTATGCCTTCCAATGGCAATACTAAAAAATGGTGATAAAAAGAAAAAGCACATCAGTAAACCTCAATCATTGTCTCATTTATTCAATAGTAAATTACCTGCATTAGATGTTAGGTGTTACCTGCAGTTGTGTTTTCTTTGGCTTGTACAATGTTTACATGTTTTTTAAAAAACTGTTTTGAACCATATGAAACTGCAGGTATTTTAAAGTTCCTAAATATACATAAATGGTTATTTCATATAGTTCAAGTTAATGCCAGTATTTTGCAACCCCAGATTCTGACTTCTCATAAAAGTTAGATCTGGCAACACCGAGCCCAAATTCCTGTAAGGCAGCTATCAGCCAGTGATCAGCAGCAGCTGCTGTCTCTTAGAGGACACATGTTCCTCTCCTGTTTGCTACAATCTGCACACCCTATTGTACCTTATAACCTGACAGCTTTACTCATGTATATTACTCTGACAGGCCCCTGTGGCCATTAAAATGGGAAACCTCTCATTTTTTGATACATACACTGGAAAAGCTTAATGTTTATTCAGTTTTCAAGTGTTTTTTTTTTACCCTAGTCAAATTACAAATTTTGCTTTTGTTCTCAATGTAATGTATTGATAAACAGGTTGAGAGGAAAAAGCAAATACTAGCATGTTGTTGTTTTTATGTGCCATCGAGTCAGACCTGACTCATAGCGGCCCGTCCTTGGGTTGCCGAGACAGTATCACTACGGAAGTAGATTGCCCAAACTTCCTTCCAAGGAGTGGCTGGTGGGTTTGAACCGCCAGCCTTCTGGTATAGTCTTTTAAATATTAACTAAGGTACATTAGCCAGGTCAGACTACAGTTGTGACATACATATTTTTATGGATCAAATAAAAAACTTAACGTTTATCCCTCATAGATAAATTATGATTACTAAATGTCCTTGAGCGGCACAAACTGTTCTGACTACTAACTTAAAGGTTAGAAGTTCAAATCCACCCAGCAGCACTGAGGAAGACAAGTTTAGTGATTTGCTTCTGTAAAGATTGTTATAGTTGTCCTCCAGTCAATTCTGACTCATGCTAAATCCATGTGTTAAGAGTGAAACTGCTCCATAGTATTTTCTTGTTTATAATCTTTATAGGAACTAGATCATAGATCCTATCTTCTGTATCTTTTAAGGACATCTGTCATTGGCTTTAGGGCCCACTTGGTTAACCCAAGGCTGTAAATGGGGCAGTTCTACTCTATCCTAAAGAGTCGCTATGAGTCATAATCAACTCAATAGTAGTAAGTTTGGTTTGGTTAATACAAGCCTTTCCTTCAGCAGAGCTGCTAAGTGGGTTAACTGTCAACTTATAGGTTACAAGCCCATCTGCCAAGTTTGTGTCCTCCATTACAGGCAAAACACTCTATTGTGCCATGAGTAGGAATGGATTAGACAGTAATTGAGTAAGCAAACCTAAGGCTGCAATTCAGGTGCCATGTATCAGTAGCTGTGTAATCCCAGATAAATCATTTACATTCTGAGTTTCAACTTTCCCTTGTGTATTATAAGATAATATTGTATAACTAGAAAGGCTGTTAGCGGCAGAAGAGTAGTAAAGTAACCAAACCAGTGAAAATGCCTATTAATGCCCCACCACCACCACCCTTCTGGCACCTATTAAGGGTCAGAGTGCTATATGAAGTCATTCCTTAAGGCCTGTGTAAACGCTGTTGTTGTTTGCTGTCAAGTCGGCCCCGACTCATAGAGACCCCTCCTTGGGTTTCCGAGGCAGTATCACTACGGATAGTAGGATTGCCCAACCTTCCTTCCGAGGAGTGGCTGGGGGGGTTTGAACCGCCAGCCTTCTGGTTAGCAGTCAAGTGCCTTAGGCA